GATGTTGGACACTTTGATAGCCATAGATTGCCTTTGATCCATTTATGTTCATGGTTAGTTTTGGGGGAAGGGGTCTGGCATGAACGGAACTATTGTTTCAGAGGGTCTTTTCCCCTGTTTGTTTTTCCCATTGCTGTGTTGTACCTGCTGTTCCACAAAATTAAACCTCCAAAAAGAGACAGAAAGAGGCGGAAAGATCATGCCAATGTGAAAAGATAAGGATGCTGATGCAAACATTTTTTCTTCTTCTAGTAGTTCCTTTTCTTTCTTATTATTCCTGTCTATATTATTATACTGATTCTCCTCGTTTTCTGTAATTTATTTAGGAGCTTCTATCTTTATGCTTGTTATTTTGCTTTGAATGACTTACTCTAAGGACCGTATTGCTTTTCATTTTTCTTAACTGAACCTAGTTATATACTTCCAACATTCATCAGATATCAGGAGATCTTGATGTGGCAAAGGATGCACTCGTACAAGTAACTTCACGTTTAAGGGCAAATCTTTTTGAAAAAGAGGGGCCCATGTCTGCCTTTGTGCCAGTTCTTCCCTACCTCCCCATGTCAACGGATTCAGATACCTTGAAATATGAAAACAGAGATTCTAGGAGACATGCACGTGAACATTCCTACTCAACTGGGTATGGTGGTGCTAGTGATCTTCCACATGCTGATGGTTTTGGAAGTTATGGTACTCTCCAGGTAAAACTTTGTTTCATTGATTAGTGCAAAGGAGTTTTTGGGAGTTGCAGTGTTCTCCAGAAGTTCTGTCATTTGTTTCTTTCGGCTAGCTTTCTACTACTTTTGCGGTGCAGCTCTTGTTATTAATTTCTAATTCCATTTGCAGAGTAGTAGTAGTATAGGGTATGGGGCATATGAAGGATATTCCCCTGCTTATCCAAAAGAAGGATATTCCCCTGCTTATCCAAAAGAAGGATATTCCCATGGGCGTTCCAGTGGATCTGGGTGAGTTCTTCTTGCCTTCCCTTCGCCAGTCTTGAGTAGTTTTGGTTTCCTATGTAATGGCGATACTGCTATCATGCTGCCTCTAGATTTTCTTGAAAGAAAAACATGCACAAGATCGTAGTTTCATTATTTCTTGAATTGTATGCTTTCAAGAAGCTAAATGTTTTGACCATATATTTGGATCTTGCATGTTTACGTCTGACCTAATGCCATTGTGGTTAGAACTTGTGGTTGGTGAGTTTGTTCTGCCCTTTCTTGCAGAGGATTTCTTATTTAGCTCGTCTACTTTCAACTGCTCTAAAGAATTCAAAGTTGCTTCTCTTTCTTATTCATTATGTTGAGTTTATGTTACCAGGTCATCAAGGCAAAACTCTGCCTCCCGGAGAAAAAGTTATGGTTATTAGAGCTTGTAACAGGACCACAGGTAGCCCATGAATTTTGGCTCTATTGCATTGAATATTTATCTTGAGTAGCTGGTTTTATATACCTAGCCCGGCTCATACAAAAGTAATACACAGTTTGGTATGATGACCTAACCTATCTTCCAATTATGAAACTAATGATATTCTTTTCCCTTTGTTTCCTTTCCCTCGCTACAAACAGCTGAGATATCTGAAGCCTGAAGCCAGCCTACTGTCACCTTTGATGAAGCCTCATGCCTAAACCAGATGACCAGATGAATGCGGATATCGAATCCATTGCCTACCTTGATGTTTTCCTTAGGAGGACCATGTCCGAAGATCTTACCTACTATCAAAATTGCCAAGACCTGACACCATATATTTCCGAGATCAAACTCTTGTGCTTCCAAGAACCTGTGTAGCCTGTGGCCTCATCCTTTCTTCCCATTTGTAGTTGTACTATAGATGAATTTAACTGTCAAATCTCGGCCATGTGTCCTGTTGTCTTGTTTTCAGTTTATTGTTATTTGTATGAATCTACTGTTAGTTGGATTTCCTATTTAATGCTCTAGATGCTAGACCTGGTGGAGATTTCTAAGTGTTCTAGTTTTGATTATGATGCAATGTTGGGAAATGAGCCCTTTCACAATATCTTCAGAAGTATTGCTACGTTACTAGAAAGCCTACATGTTTCTTCATTATCTGCGATAATGTTCAATCATGATTTTTCCTGTGTGTCCTTGTCATTTTATTGGCAAAAGTATCTTGCTAAAAGTAGATTGCTCTTCTGAAGAGGATGTCGTGGCTATGGAAGCTACATGGGTGCCTGCAGTTCTCTGTAGACACTGAATCTTCATTGCTGTGATTAGTAGTGCTATATGTTTCAGTAATGCCAAAACGCAGTGATATTCACTGCCAATCAATGTGGAATCTGAGCTTTTGGGAGTACTGGTTGGAATTAACTGAAGCAGGTTTATCTCTGATGGTAAGTCTCAATATTCTTTTTATCGCAAGCTTTTGTTATATGATTTATGTGCAAGGGCTGATATTATTGCAATGAATCAGCATGTTTGGTGGAATTTACTCGTGTATGCAAAAGTAGGTACTCATATTTTCTCTGCATTTGTTTGGCGATAATGTTATTTCAAAAGTGTCTGCTCCCATCTGAAGTTAAACCATCTCTTCTTTGTTCCCTTTCATACTGTTTTTGGATACAGTTAGTATGCTTCATTTGCTGATGCCTTTATTATTGCTCCTATCATGCAATGCTCCATTGTTTGTCCTTTCTTCTCGAGAGTGGTGGGGGTTGAGTTGGAGGGTCGGCTATGTCTTGAAGAAGGGTGGTTGAATGATATGAGAGGATACTTAATCAATCATGGGGTGTGAGAAGTCGATCCTGAGTTGAGTTGATCTCATACAAGTACGTGCACCAAGTTGAGGCTTTAGTAGGAGATTGATTTCCTACATGCGAAGTTAAAAGTTGCTCTCCTATTGCATAGAATATAGAGTTCTATATAATTTGTCATGTGTTATCTTTCTTCCTCCTTGCCCCCCCTCCCC